AGTGTCTTGCCTGTTAAGAGACTGTGCCAGGCTGTGGTGGCCCACGCCTTTAATTCCAGCACTTGGGGGACTGAGGCAGGCTGATCTCTGTGAGTCTGAGGCCAGCTTGCCTGCTGGTCTACAGAGCGAGTTCCAGGACAGCCAGGGATACATAGTGAAACCCTGACTCAAAAAAAAAAAAAAAAAAAAGTCACATGGTTAACATCTTTAAAATTTTACACTGTAACAAAATACAGGGAGAAGAGAAGGCTAAGGCAAAGGGACCTAGCAACTTTACAAGGACAACAACTGGCTACTGAGTTTGGGCTGCCAGTCTCCTCTTTGTGGAGCTTTTAAGTTTGTCTTCAAAGCAGTGAAGCTAGCACACCAGTAATGGTGGGGGATGGGCATGCTGCGGTCTTACAGAATCCCTCACAGTTTGGATATAGTTTTCACAGAAGAATGCCCAGTCAGGAAGTTCACATCTGAACATCACTGTCTGTCTCTCAGTCTTCTTCCCCATCCCACAAGACTAGGCCCTGTGTCAGCTGGGCCCTCACCAGAGCCTGCCCGAGGCTGCCCGGGCTGAGGGGCTGGAGTTGGCCACCAGCTCAAGACAGCTATCTAAGTGCTGGTGCCAGCCGCTGTTCCCCGCTGAGGAGAAAGCTTTGAGCTCTGCTCCAGGGATGCACACTGTCCTCCGAAAGACTAAAAGCTCTTCGGGCTTGTTCAGACTATTTTCACTTTCCAGACTCTACTTGGCAGAACAAATGGGTGAATTCCAGGGACCTGAGCTCACTTTGAATGCTTTTTCATGTTTTCTTGGTATCTTTGCCATGTTCAAGATTTACAGGCGGCAGAAGGCAAGCAAACACTCGGGATTTCCATCAGTGGCAGAGGTATGCATGAAACACCCTGAAAAGCTACAGTACCAATGCAGAGGGGGCAGTTAATCTCCTCCCTCCTCCTCTTTCACATGTGTGTGGGGTACATGTGTATATGCACATCCACATGTGCAGAGGCCGCCCAAAGTTGGTGTCTTCCTCAGTCACTCTCCATTTTATATCCTGAAGAAAGCGTTTCCCAGTTGAACTCAGAGGTCACTGGTTGGCTAGCCTAGCAAGTACTCTTGGGAAACTGTCACCTCCATTACAATGCTGAGATTAAAGATGGCAGCCACGCCTGCCTGGCTTTTTCACATGGTGTCTGCTCTCAGATTTGGGCAGCAAGAGCCTTATCCACTGAGCCATTCCCCCAGCACTCGATATTTCTTATTACGAGGAAGTCAACTTGCATGGTAATTTGGGGTAAAAATACCACTCCCCTCCATGTGTGCTTGTGTGTGCTCTGTTTGTGCGTGCACATGTGGGTTCCAGTTTAAGACAGACTCTCTTGATGCATCTCAGGCTAGTCGGCCATCCCCTCCTGGAGAGTACCCCGTTTCTACCTCCCAGGTACATGTTACTATCCCAAGAGTTAAGTAGGTTCTGAAGACTTGAGGACAGGTGCTCACACTTGCTTGGCCACTGAGCCATTTTCCTAGCTCATGTACACTATCTGAGCAGTGACTGAAAAATATAGGAAGAGAAAAAGATGTCAAGGAGGACCACCACAGTAAACAGCTGAAATCTAAGCAGTAGATAATGGGGTGTACTGTGGGGGCAGAAGTCACTGATGAAGGAGGAAGGTCAGGAATAACACCCTCCTCCTTGGTGTTCATGTTACCTCAGAAGCCAGGAGTCTCTCTCTAGTGGAATCTGCTCTGAAACGTACCTGAGTCTTGGGATTCTTATTTATTCCAATGGTCAAATGCTGAAACTAGGCCTGTGTCTGACTCCTCTGTTTGGAATTCTTACCATTGTGTCTTCCCCAGAGGTCACAGTGTCAGTTGCCACTCCTATCTTAGCAACACAAAAGGATTTCTCCACCATTAATGCATCATTCCACAGAATACATTTCATTTCAACTGAACGATGAATTTTTAGATGCCTCTCACCTCTCTCGATCCGTTCCTACTTCCTTACCCTCGCCACTCTGAATCATGGTCAAACTCGATGGCGTTCACCAAGCCACTGTCTGTCCAGCTAAGTGCTGACCATCACTTGGAGTACCCACTGAGCACAGGGCAGGCAACGGTGGGTGATCACTTGAAGTACAAAGCCAGCCTGGTCTATGTATTGAGTTCCAGGCCCGTCAGAGCTACAGAACAAGAGACACTGACCGCTAACTAGGTGGGGGGGGGGGGGGGCGAGATACCCGCTGAGCCTTCTTGCCGGCCCTGTGATTTTTATTTCCTGGTTGTGCCATGTGGAGAGAAGGACCAAGCGATTCTGGAGGCCAAAGCTAACATGAGGGAAGGGTCATGGAGAGAGCAGCCCGATCTCATTCTGCCTCTATTCCTTGTGAAACGCTGGGTTCTTTGGGTCCAAAGCAAATGTGAGCTCACCACCATCTTAACAAACAACTGCTTTCTAAACACCAACCAGGCCACAAGCTCCCCAACCATTCCACCCTCTCTCTCTCATAGGGCGTAAAACATGAAATGCCCAGAGACCTGGGAATGCCCATGAGTATTCCGTGGAGACGCCGACACAACGGCAGTCCTTCCACAGGGCGCCGCACACAGAGCAGAGAGCACACGTGGGCACATGCACTGTGAGATATCTTCACACAGAGGAAGTTGTGTGTCGACAAAGTGGATCTGCAGCTGCGCTGCGTTCATCCAATCAACCCTCCTCTTTCATCTTTGCCTATGATCTTTTGCTTGAATTTACTTTACTTACTCCTGTTCTAAGTACCTACATCACTTCTGGCAAATCTAGACAACACGAACATTCCCTTTTCACATTTGGGTGAAAATCTTCCTTTGAATAATCTATACTTGTGTGTGTGTGTGTGTGTGTGTGTGTGTGTGTGTGTGTGTGAGAGAGAGAGAGAGAGAGACAGAGACAGAGACAGAGACAGAGACAGAGAGTGAGAGAATAATTCTCTTCTTTGGTTGAAATCAAGTATTGTTAATAAAATATCCCTTCTTATATTTAATTTGACACATTATTTCACAATCATAATCAAATAATGTGTCAATCAGGACATAAAATAGTTTAAAATAGGAAAACCAATTCTAAACAGCAACTGTAGCATGATTTGACTGAGTTATTTTAACACATGGTATGAACCTAAAATCCACAAAACATGGGCGAATGAGCTGGGAAGACAGCTGTGCCCTGGAACACTCAAACACGTCTAAGCAGAGGAAAGAGTATTTCACAGACCAGATGCAGCACCTCCACTTAGAAGCTGTGTAAAAGATTCTCAACTCGGAGTCTCTTTCACACGCCATCTGTTTGTGTTTTCATTAATAACTGTCCACGTGCAATGATTGCAGGACTCAGCGACAATGCAGAAGATGCTAAGGAGAACATGAAAAGGATTCACACCACCCTCACAGACTGTCTCAGCACTGCGCTCTTGAGACATGACAGCTTCTCAGTTGTGAAGGGCCTCCAGGGAGACTCCACCTCGCAGCCTGCCCTCTTCTTACAGGTGCCCATCTTCAGACATGCAGACACACAGAACTTCTGCCTTTTCCCGTCACAAATGTCATCACAGCCAGTCACTGGTTTATGGACATAAGGAAATGGACTAGAGAGCAGACAGCGCAATGGTTCCCAACCTGTGGGTCTTGGCCCCTTGGTTGGGGGCAACCCTTTCACATGGGTCACCTAAGACCATTGGAAAACAGATATTCACATTACGATTGATAACAGGAGCAAAATTATAGTTAAGAAGTAGTAATGAAAATAATTTTATGGCTGGGGAATCAGCACAACATGAGGAGCTGCACTCAGGGACCCAGCATGAGGAAAGGAGAGAACCACTGGTTTAGAGGACACCCTGCCTGCTGTGCAAGCATGAGGATGCGAATCTGAATTCAAGCGCCAGGCATGGACACACGCACACCTGCACACACTCACATGTACGCACAGTCCTAACACGAGTGCCGTGGAGTATGGGACAAAAGGATCACTGGGGCTTCCTGGATGCTGGCCTAGCTCCAGGTTTAGGGAAAAACCTTGTCTGAAAGGAATAAGGTGGAGAGAACAAGCCAGGCACTCAGTACCCTCCTCTGGCCTCTGCAGTGCACTTAGAGAAGCAATCACAGACATGAGCATACCATACATACCACATTCACATATACACAGTCACACACATACACACACAATGGGCTGGGTCAAATAATCTATCTAAGTCTGAGATTTGTTCATCTTTGCCTGCCAGTATTTATTTAGATTTATAAATTCATAGAGTTATCAAAATGTTAACTGCTATTTTATTTATATCTTGCATGTCTATGTTTTTCAGCCATATATACACATGTCTAATATGTCTTTCAGCCTTCTATATACCTACAGAAAAAGGCTGCTTTTTTTTCTCTTGTTGCAATAAAAATGATCACCTCTAAATTTCACCTAAAATAGAAATAAAGATAAGCATGCCCTGTCCCCAGCCCCAAAGATCTATCTCCACAAGATTAGGCTACAACATATCCATGACCTTCTGAGCGGCTGGCTCTGCTCGTGGTGAGCCTAACCCTGCTGTCTCTTTGGTCTGGGAATGGTGAGAAGATGCCAGTGGACATTCAGGGACCCCTGTCTGAAGCTGAACAGGGATACCCTCCTGCCATGCACGGCCAGCTTCACTACAACATAGCATAACTACAGCTGTTTTCATGAGAGATTAGTTAGGACATGCTGCTAGAAAGAGATTCAATTTGATACCTTCCCTATCTGTCAATGCAGCATAAAGCAGCAGAAGGTGGCCAATGTGAAAACAATTCCCAACACTGTTTCTGAGATGAAGTGTGATGAAAAATTCACATAAATAAATCACACTACAGTAGTCTTTCCCTATTAAGAGAGGGATAAGGTCAACTCAACGGTTTCCAGGAAAAACCATCCATCATGAGATCAAGCTTTCCTGTAACAGATGGGACCCTGAAAATGCCCATGTCTCCACACTACCTTGCAAGTCCGAATCACTGGACTTAGGGCTGCTTCTGGCTCTTCGCTCCGTCTTTTTGATCCCAGGTCCACCTCCGCTTCCACCTCCCACGCCTCCACTGCTTCCAGCACTATGGCCCTTCCCGTAACCATTGTACACTGTTGCACAGCTGCTCTTATAGATGGTGGAAGGTGGGCTGTTGAGACGGTTCTGGCGGTCAATCTGGCGGTCCTTCAGCTTTTTGTGCGGTGGCTTGCTGTACTGGTCTTCTCGGGTGATGTAGCTCGACATTCCATAAAGTGGGATAATTTCTAGAACGAATGTGGGTGACAAACATGAGCTCAGTTGGCATCGACCACAGTGAGTGATGAAAAAGGTCAAGCAATCTGACCCCTGAGGAAGCCATGCACATGACTACGGTATACATTACAAAACATACTGAGACCATGAGGAAACAGCACACGTTCATAGGATCTGCATTCCTTCCCAAATAGTCAAGGTATCGTCAGTTATTGAACACAACACATTGTACTTAGAACTTCCCATAAATTATGGAGAAAGAAGATGACAAGGTTATTCCCAAAGACTTCATTGGCTGGTGAATATATAACTAAATCTGACCCTGCCTTTCTTGATGTCTTCAGCAGATGCAACACAGAAGAAATGAAATACCCCTTTACATGTATACACAGACTCCTAACATTTAAAGTGTGACTATTTTTAGAGATACAACCGTGTTTCTACTGAAAAGCACAGAGTTAGCATGATATAAAAAGATATCTGGGGCATATCTTTTTTTCATGTGTGTACCACATGTGTGCAGGTAGTATGGAGGCCAGAATCCAGGCTGGACCACCTAGAACTGGAACCAAACACTGGTCCTCTGCAGGCTGGGGAGGTGCTCTGTACCACTGGGCCCCTCTCCGGCCCTAGGACATGTCACACGTGGTATTTTAAATTATGTTTTGGCATCAACAGAAAATGACAACATATAACACAGATGACATTTCCTTGTCTCTTTCAGGAATAAAATAGCTTCTCAAATATACAGTATCTATAAATCATATGTCACTGTAGGCATAAAAGGAGAGGACTACCCAGAATTTCTAGATATGAGCGACCTAAAGCCAGACATGCTGAGCAGAAACACACAGGAAACTACATAATTTACCTAATTATAAAAGTACCGCTTCGGTTCTTCAGAGGGACAACCCCACTGCTCATGTCCTGCCTGTTCACACAGCTTACTTACATCTTTACAAGACAGCCAGTATGGACTAGAGAATGTCAGACACCGAGCACAGCCATATTTAGAAAGAATGTGTTTAAATTAACTATACTAACATATGTAGAAGCTGGCAACTGTTCTAAACTGCACAAGCATTACACTTGAGAGTTAAAGTAGGCACTGTGCATACTAATGTAAGAACCATTTAAGACAGGGTAAGAGTCTTCTAGACATTCATGGTTCCAGGAGTTAATGTTTAATTGCCTTGAGGTATACGCACTGAGAAATCAGATGTTTCTGTGATATGAAGACTTTATCGCCATCTTTAATTGAAGCTAAAGACTGCACCCTCATTATCTGTGTTGCGGTTCTGCGTTACTCTGATGAACTTAGATCAAAGCACACCGTGAAGTGTGTGGCAGCGCTGACTTAATTCTAATGATGTTTGAAATCATAGTTTTACCTTGCCTAGGATTTTAGAGCCATGGTTATCCAAGAGTAACTACCAGGCACCCTAGAGGGCATCGTCAGACTGTGAGTCAGCGACCAGGACTCTGCAGGACATCAGGGAGATCACAGCCGACCAGACGTACTGAAACTCTCAGGATTCCACATGGACTATGACAAAGCACTAAACACCTCTTCACACACTAATGAACTGAGTGAGCTGGTACGTGCCTACAATCTCAACACCTGGCTGGCAGAGGCAGGAGGATTGCTGGGAGCTTAACTCCATAGTGAGACCATGTCTAAAAAAAGTTAACAAGTTTTTTCTAAATGTCTTCATAACATGCTGATGGGGGGGGGGCGGGCAGGGCTTATGCCATTAAGAAAATAGACATCAAATTAGTAAATGATTGATGTGGGTGAGGATATTTACTCGTGTTTGGCTGTGACCTTCCTACACCCCTTTATGAAAGCATGTTAAACTTCCTCTGATTAACCACCAAAACGAACAAAATAATCACATTTCATTCCCAAGTCACAATAGGATATTTAATTAAGATACCCATCTCAGGTTTCTCTTTTGTTCATAATAATAAAAGACAATCCACAATGCGAGCTGAACAGAAAGGAGACCATGGGTAAAAGAGCGTTGCTGTGGTAAAAGCACAGGGGAAACTCGTTCAGAATTCCTCTGAACTGCCAGAACACACGTTTAAAGAGGCAAATGCTCCAATCAGAGTGAGAGGAGCCTTTGCAAAGTCCTAGAGCCAAAGTCTCATTTCGCCCTCCCTCTTCTTTGGCTGCCAGCGTCCAATCAGACAGTCACAGCTTCAGACTGAATCCAAACAAGAACTTTGAAAGACAATGCCGAGAACTTTGAGACTCTCTTCCTTTCAATGTAAGTATCTGCCTAGCAACCAGAGACACTGTGGTCAAGGTAATGGCTAGTCTCAAACTCAAACCAGCTGTGGGACGGCCTCACCTGCAGCAAGATGACTGCTGAGTTCTGCCAAGACAGATCTTTCAGAAAACCCAAAGGATATGGAGACTTCACAATCTTCTGACGTTTGAAATGGGGCAAAAATCATTTCAATTTCCCCTGTACTGACAGACGATGGTGATGCCATGGAAATATTGGGGCCCAGCTCTGCCTGAGGCCACTGTTAGATAAACACTCATCAACGGGAACACAGGGCAGATGGCTGACTCACTTCCAGAATAAAGAGGAGCTATCCTACTCCTTGTTCTTGGTGGGGCAGCAGCAAGAAAGAGCTGTGACCCAACCAAGTCAAAGGACTCGTATGAGACAGAATCCAAGACAAAGGAAGCCTGGGACGGCCAGTGGAGTTTCGTACCAATTAGGTCTCCTTCTACCTTGCTTATCCACAGGAGACGAAGCGAGGAGGCCACACAAGTTACTGCAGTGTACCCAGTTTCCACAGGTGCCAGCTGTAACGGACTCACCTTGCTCACTATATATTGTTGGGGGGAGGTGGTGCTGGGGGAAGAACTGCGGTGACATATCTCCAGGAACGGTGACAGGTGGATAATAAGCCGTGTGCGAGTTCTGAAGGAAGTGTGGGTGGTGACTCAGATAAGGGGGCAGGTGATGGGTTGGAGACATGGCTGAGGGGTAGCTTGGTGGGTAACACTCAGGAGACTGGGGTGTAACCACCACCCGGCGGACTCCAGTACTGTCTTCAATCACCTAAGGAAGGAGACAAAAGGACTGGATGTAATACAGACTATTAACAATCACACCCATGGATATGAAAATATTAATAACCTGCCCCCCCGCTAATTATACAAAGGAATTAGTTACTTCCCCATTAATTAAACGATTCCAACTCCATGAAACATTTAGCAATGATCATTATCTTGCTATTAATTCTTGGTTTATCATAAAATGTTTACGTTCATAACACTTTTACTGGACAATTAACTGAGCATGTGTATAAACCGATGCTAGGAGTAACTTTGTACATAACCATAAACTCAATGGGTTTGCAGGAAGAGATTCTATGGGTCATGCAAGAATGCTTCTAGGGCTGGGCTTCTAGACCTAGCTGAAAACATCTAGCCTATTTCCGCTTTGGTACACACAGGTCCGCAGATATTAGGAAACAAGCCATGGAAATACACTAAAGTATCATTTACCTAGACTAAGGATGAGGAAAAAAAATGATTCTGACCAACGAATAACTTAAGCAATGGCCAATCAGGATGGTCAAAGGTGTATTTACCTGTCCTGATTTCACCAAGAACTGTGGCAGACGAGACCTTTCAGGACAACCTATCCTGGTCAACCTCCCACTCGAGGAAGGCAACTAGAGAAGAAGCACCTGAGAGAGCTAATGGTACCTGGCCAGTGCTTTGCTACCATTCTAACCCCAACTATCCTGATACAACCCAGGGAAGGATGTAGTCCATATAACAAGCACCGCTACGACAAGCAGAGCCATAAGCCACAGGATGGGAAGTCACGAAATGATGGCGCCGCAGAAGGCCACAGGGGCTCCAAAGAACCGCAGGGCTGAAGGCTATGGCTCAGTTATAGAGGAAGAGGCCTGGCTGTGGTCAAATTAAAGAAAAACGGGATATACACACACACATGTACACATGGTTAAACTGGAATCTGGGACCAGGCTCACAAATACTTGAGAGAATCAATTATTTAAGAAAATGAGGCACACATTCTGACAGGCTTTATTTTTGGTTTCTTTTTCTTTAATGCTTGAATTTGAATCTCTGTATTAAAATAGATTTTTGCATTGCATCTCAGGAAGTTGCTAAGAGGACAAAATAAAATAATTTGTGTCTAACAACAAAAACATACCCTATGCTTAGTTTCATGAAAAACAATAACAAAACAAAACAACAACAAAAGAGTATTGCTAAAGTATTGGTGAGTCTCTCAGTGTGTAGTCTACATGTTAGTGCACTAAGTTATTCTGACTTGAATTAACAGGCACTGGCCAGTGTTTAAGAACACAGGAGGTTGCAGAGATAGCTGGATGGCTAAGAGCACTTGCTGCGCTTGCAGAGGGCCCAGGTTTATTTTCCAGTATCCTCATGGCTGTTCATAAGAGCCTAGACTCGAGCTCCAGGGATTAGATGCTGTCTTTGGACCCCGTGGGCACCTGTATACACAAGTTGCACATAAACACACACAAGCTCACATATGTGCACATAAATTAACAAGAAACTTTGTAAACATTAATATCCCATTACAGTCAACACGCACTCCCGGAAACTGAGGCTCTGACTCACTTCCAGCTAGCAACCAGGGCAACCCTTCCTGTCCTTACAGTTCTGAATGAAGCTACCCACTTCCGGGGCACGGCCCACTAATCATATCACGTTACTTCTGACCATGCAGCTGGAATTTACAAACCCATGTGCAGGGGTGTTTAGCCAGGACACTGAAAAGCGCGGGGACAGACTGACAGAATCTTGTCCTCAGTCTAAAACACGGAGCACAAATGCTCTTCTCTAGAACATACTTCCTACAACTGCATGTCACATCCGTGTTGGAGATGTGTCTTACCAGTAATACAAAAAACGGCTACCCCAGGGCTCACTCTCCCTCCCTGCCTTCCAGCAGCTACTAGGAAAAGGGGAAGACACACAGAAGGAGCTCCATTTTCATAAAACATCCCCCAAAGTTCAAAGAAGCAAAGAACTTCCCAGCAGGTCCACATTCCCTCAGGTGCAGCCACAGGGGCCTCACTGATGCAGAAAGCTGACAGGGGCCACTGTCCACAGCAGTGACTGTCGTGAAATAATTTATTCTCAGCATTTTATAATTTCCAGCTTGCTATAAGCATATTTTTCCTAAAGTTTGTCAAAAAGCTAAATGACACACAGATGAAAACCTGTCTTCTTCCCACTTTTGTAAGAACATTTGTCCTTAAAATATTGTCCCTAAAAATTAATAAAATAAGAGGCCGGAGAGACAGCTCAGAGGTTAAGAGCACTGGCTGTGCTTCCAAAGGTCCTGGGTTCAATTCCTGGCACCCACTAGGTGGCTCTGTAATGAAATCTGGTGCCCTCTTCTGGTATGCAGGCAGAACTCTGTATATACATAATAAATAAATCCTGTAAGAAATAACAATAATAAAATAAATTCACTCTGAAGAGTAAATTGTCTTTGTCTACACACACAACAGGTTTCTCAGCAGGAAAGTAAGCAGCGTTGTGAAGCTGCAAACTGATGTGCATATGAGAGCTGCCGGAAGTTCTCAGTCCTAGTGATCCTCAACTTCCTGTGGTGTCTGTGATACCGGCATGCGCATATATAACAAGACACTTTCAAAAACCCGTTCCTACCCAAAACAGACCTTTCTTTCATCCTCCCAAAATGAAGTATTAATTCTAAAGTAAGAATAAAAAACCAAAACCACATAATGACAATTTGCCTGCTGCTGTTTTATAACACAAATTATAGCACACTTTACTTATCAAACTCAGCTATGAACTCGACCTAAGGAAATCATTCTCAGGTTTCCCTAGAGAATAATGCAACTTCAGAAATGGTGGCAATAATATCTTTTGTTTAATAAAAGTAATTGTCATATATATACATATATATATTTCTAGTAGGAGAAATAAAACATCTGAGAAATTCAGTTCAAAATACTCAAGGCAACAAAATATACCTTCACTGTCCATAGTTAATTATTGGAAAAAACAAACTTATTTCCTTTTGTGGGTGAATGAAATTACGGCAATGTCCGGAGGCAGACAAATCACATATTCAATTCCCCAGTGACTTCCTGACACATACTGCTGATAACCACTGAATATTCAAAGGAGAGGGGAAAAGTGACCTGGGTTCTGATAAGTGCTATTACAAAAGCCCAAATACAATGATTTCAGAAATCAATGGCTCTACAGAAGTGCCACTCACACATCCCTGGGGAAGCAGAGAACTCTGGGAAAGGTGGATGTGTGCTCTGTCTCTGATGGCCACCTACTGTGAGCTGCACTGTGCACCCCACCAATGCCCCTCTCTTGACTCCTGTGCTCAAGTGTTCCTGTTCAGGATGAGCCTCAGACTGTGTGTGCAGGTAGACGCTAACCCAGAGTGAGAGTAGGCCCACGGCAGATCCTGTGAAGTCTCTTAGCAAATACACTCATTTACGGGGCAAAAACAGAGGCCTTGGAAAGTGTTCTGCCATCTTGGACTTTTAGCCTCCAGCAATATGGGACTTTAGGGGCAGCTTTAGTAAAAACCCATGGCACCTAGGGCAGGGTGGCTGAATCCGAGTCTCCTTTACCTTAAGTCTGTCTGTAAGCCTTCCCTGGTATGAAAAACAAAATGAAGTAAAACCAGGAAGTGCTCCATTCACCTTTCACACACACAGCGTTCTTCCCTGGCCCACCGAAGGAAGCCAACCTGATGGCCAACAGTGTCCCGATCTGATCCCCATATCTCATCACCCTGCTGGGCAGGTGCCCCATCACCTGCCTCCTGAGAAGGAGCAGGTGACGGACTAGAGAGTCAGATGAGTGAGATAGATACCTTCTAGGAGCAGGGCATGCTTGCTGTCTTGTGCCAAAGGCAGAGTGGCCAGTGAGGTGTACCACATTAACGGGGAGCATCCGGGTCCTACTTACACAAGTGTTTGAGTACATATGACCAAAAGAACCATTAAAAAGCACCCCCCCCAAAAAAAAACCAGACTAGTCTAGAGACAACAGCTGAGGGGATCTAGTGGAAGCAGTGTGCAGGGCAGGGGTGGAGCGTTAAGAGGGAAATTCCCAGCCCAATCCCAGCTGTCACATGGAAGCTCCCTGTGCACTGGAGACTTAGACTTGAGCTCACTGTGTTAGACAAAGAGAGACAGAGCAGAGTGACGTTACCAAGCCGAGGGTCTTTACAATGGTCAACACATCACATTACCATGTGACGGATTACACAGAATTCTGAAGGCTGGTCAGTCAATAGGCAGTCAACCACTGAGAGTCAGGGCATGTGTGTTATTAAGAGACATAAGAGGCTTCAAGACACAGCCAAATATACTAAGTCCCTGTAGCTGCCGTGCTTTAAGATCCTCAACCTGAAAGGAGGAAAGGACCTGGAACTGGGCACAACATGTCCCATTATAAACCTGGTCACCATTACCATTCCCCGTGCCCACTGCCTCGCTAACCCAACGATCCTGAGACATGGGGCTATAGCACAGAGCTGTAACAAGAGGAGGTGCTTAATGGAGGTCAAGGTAGCTCGCCAAACATAGAACTTTCAGGAGTAAAAATCTATTTTGATTCCAAGAGTTAGAATGGGCCTTGTAAAACACACGCACAGTTTAAGTGTCTTTTCTCTTAAAATAAAAGCATTTCACTGGACTGCTTGCTGGGAATGTGAATAAACGCCTTTGTTCTCAAATGCTTTCTTCCTACTCCCACCAGCCAGCAAAGGTACAGAAGAAAGGGAGCTTGAAGGGCAGGAGGCAGAAAGCAAAGCCAAAGCCTGCGTCACGGTCAGGCAGGATCTAGGAGTGGACAGAGCAAAGGTTGCCCCGCATCCAGACTGGGGTAGCAGGGAACACCCTGAGCTGCACACGCAGAAGCCTGGGACAGAGTGGGAAAGGAAAGGAAGCTAATTGACTGTAACAATCAAAAGCAGTGGTGATGACTTCTGCAATTTATGTATCAATTTATCACTTATAGAGTACTTGGAACAGAACCTAACTCACAGTAATA